GGCTAAAGAGTGTGCTGCTAAATAACCAAGAGATCACTGAAGAAATCCAAGAGGAAATCAAACAATACCCAGAAACAAATGACAACGAAAACACGACGATCCAAAACCTATGGCACACAGCAAAAGCAGTTCTAAGAGGGAAGTGCATAGCAATTCAGGCTCACCTCAAGAAACAAGAAAGATCTCAAGTAAGCAATCTACCTTATACCTAAAGTAACTAGAAAAAGAACAAAGAAAACTCAAAATTATAGAAGGAAAGAAATCATAAAGATCAGAGCAGAAATAAATGAAATAGAAACAAAGAAAACAATCGCAAAGATCAATAAAACTAAACGCTGGTTCTTTGCGAAGATAAACAAAATTGATAAACCTTTAGCCAGACTCATCAAGAAAAAAGGGGAGAGGATACAAATCAATAAAATTAGAAATGAAAAAGGAGAGATTACAACTGACACCGCAGAAATACAAAAGATCGTAAGAGACTACTACAAGCAACTATATGCCAATAAAATGGACAACCTGAAAGAAATGGACAAATTCCTGGAAAAGTACAACCTTCCAAGACTGAACCAGGAAGAATTAGAAAATATAAAAAGACAAATCACAGGTAATGAAATTGAAACCATAATTAAAACTACTAGAACTAATCAATGAATTTGGTAGGGTTGCAAGATACAAAATTAATGCACAGAAATCTCTTGCATTCCTATACACTAACAAAAGATCAGAAAGAGAAATTAATGAAACAATTCCATTTACCATCTCAACAAAGAGAATAAAATACCTAGGAATAAACCTACCTAAGGAGGCAGAAGACCTGTATTCAGAAAACTATAAAACACTGATGAAAGAAATCAAAGATAATATAAACAGATGGAGAGATATACCATGCTCCTGGATTGGAAGAATCAATATTGTAAAAATGACTTTACTACCCAAAGCAATCTACAGGTTCAATGCAATCCCTATCAAATTACCAATGGCATTTTTCACAGAACTAGAACAAGAAATTTTACAATCTGTATGGAAACACAAAAGATCCTGAATAGCCAAAGCAATCTTAAGAAAGAAAAACGGAGCTGGTGGAATCAGGCTCCCTGACTTCAGACTATACTACAAAGCTACAGTAATCAAGATAGTATGGTACTGGCACAAAAACAGAAATACAGATCAATGGAACAGGACAGAAAGCCCAGAGATAAACCCATGCACATATGGTCACCTTACCTTTGATAAAGGAAGTAAGAATATACAATGGAGAAAAAACAGCCTCTTCAATAAATGGTGCTGGGGAAAATGGACAGCTACATGTAAAAGAATGAAATTAGAACACTCCCTAAAAGCCATACACAAAAATAAACTCTATTTATTTTTGGGCCAGACACTATAAAACTCTGAGAGGAAAACATAGGCAGAACACTCTATGACATAAATCACCGCAAGATCCTTTTTGACCCACCTCTTAGAAAAATGGAAATAAAAACAAAAATAAACAAATGGGACCTAATGAAACTTAAAAGCTTTTGCACAGCAAAGGAAACCATAACAAGACGAAAAGACAGAATTTCCATTTCTCAGAATGGAGAGAAAATATCTGCAAATGAAGCAACTGACAAAGGAGTAATCTCCAAAATATACAAGCAGCTCATGAAGCTCAGTATCAAAAAAACAAGCAACCCAATCCAAAAATGGGCGAAAGACCTAAACAGACATTTCTCCAAAGAAGACATACAGATGGCCAACAAATGCATGAAAAGATGCTCAACATCACTAATCATTAGAGAAATGCAAATCAAAACCACAATGAGGTATCACCACACACTGGTCAGAATGGCCATCATCAAAAAAATCTGTAAACAGTAAATGCTGGAGAGGGTGTGGAGAAAAGGGAACCCTCTTGCACTGTTGGTGGGAATGCAAATTGATACAGCCACTATGGCAAACAGTATGGAGGTTCCTTAAAAAACTAAAAATAGAACTACCATATGACCCAGCAATCCCACTAATGGGCATATACCCTGAGAAAACCATAATTCAAAAAGAGTCATGTACCACAATGTTCATTGCAGCACTATTTACAATAGCCAGGATATGGAAGCAACCTAAATGTCCATCAACAGATGACTGGATAAAGAAGATGTGGCACATATATACGAGGGAATATTACTCATCCATAAAATGAACAAAGTTGAGTTATTTGTAGTGAGATGGATGGACCTACAGTCTGTCCTACAGAGTGAAGTAAGTCAGAAACAGAAAAGTACCATATGCTAACACATATATATGGAATTTTAAAAAGCGGTACTGATGAATCTAGTGGCAGGGCAGGAATAAAGACACAGATGTAGAGAACAGACTTGAGGGCATGGGGGGAAGGGGAGGCTGGGAAGCTGGGATGAAGTGAGAGAGTAGCAGTGACGCGTACACACTACCAAATGTAAAATGGATGGCTAGTGGGAAGCTGCTGCATAGCACAAGGAGATCAGCTCGGTGCTTTGTGACCACCTAGAGAGGTGGGATAGGGAGGGTGGGAGGGAGGCTCAAGCGGGAGGGGATGTGGGGATATATGTATACATATAGCTGATTCACTTTGTTGTACAGCAGAAACTAACACAACATTGTAAAGCATTTATACTCCAATAAAGATGTGGAAAAAAAAAAGGCAAAGGAGAACATCTTTGAAGAAAAGTACAATGTTGGCTCATCCAAAACAAAAAAGTCTGATTTTCAAACTCTATAGGTTCTAAGTAAAGCAAACTACTGAATGCAACCAATACATGCACTGTGAGTAGTGAAATGAAGAGACAGCATAGTAAATTGGCTTTGAGTATGGACCATGGAGTCAGGCTGCCTGGGATCTAATCCTGGCTGCACTACAAATAAGGAGAGTTACATAGTCTCTGTGTCTCAATTTCCTAATCTCTATAAAAACAAATATTTATATATATGTACTGTTTCTGTACCTACCTCAAAAAATAATTAAATAGAAAGTACTAAGTTAATGTTAGCAACTTTTATTGTTAAATTTAAGTACCTAGAATTGAATGCTAAGTTATTTTCAATAAATGCTCTCATGCAAAATTTCCATACACTCCAGCACTAAATTTCATACACAATGAATTTGATTATAATCATTGTACAAACATATTTCTAAAAAGTCACTAGGAATCAGGGCTTCTGTGAAATAAAATGAAAACAAAACAAAATAAAATGAGTGCTATCACTATCTTTTTCTTCCGTAAGGGAATTAAAATGACAGCACATCTAGTCTCACCTTACAGAAATCAAAAATGACAAATGAATACATAAATGAACATGGTCTTTCATAAGATGAGAATTTCTAATAGAAATATCTTACTGTAATCTTACTATCACAACAATAAAATTTTGATAATTCATCTAGAACAATCTATTCTTTGGGACAGTGGTTCTCACACCTGTTTGGATGGTAATGCACAAGCAAGAGAGGGTGCTCTTTACAGAACCCCCAAAATGATGATGTTGTAGTTAATGGCAACATAAGAAATAAAAAAAACTTTACTAGATTATGGACTGAATATGCATATGCAACATAGATGCATATTCTCTAATATGAAAATAATAACCACAAACCTCTATATATGAAAAAATCTAAGCAAGAGCAATGTCATTTTTTCATTAACATTAATTTGGTACTTGTTAGTAATAACAGTTGCTAACTTCTGAATACCTACTACATGCCAGGCACGCAATATGCCAAAGAGACTGAGGTGCATATCTTACTTGTAACTTATTTACCTTACTCATAACCATATGAGGTAGTCATCATTATTTTCATTTTGACAGTAGAACAACTGAGGTTTCAAAGAGGTTAGATATAATTTAACTGAAGTTCAAACAACAGGGAAGGGAAAGAGCAAGAACTCAAACCTGTCTGACTCAAACTTTGCACTCTTAACCACAACACTAGACTTCAATGCAATAAAATCTAAAAATTTAAACATTTTACATAAATTTTATATGAATCAGAAATGATCAATATTAACCAATTTTAAGAATAAAACATATGTATCAGTGGGGAGGACCATTTAAGAATCATTGCCGAGAATCTAACATAAGCATGGCAAAAGCTGTTAAAAGAGTAGACCTTAAATGTTTCCAACACAAAAAAGCAATGGTAATTATTTCATGTGACACAATGGAGGTGTTAGCTAATGCTATGGTGGTAATCATTCTCTACTATATTCATGTATCAAAGCAATACATTTTACACCCTAAACTCACACAATATTATGTGTCAATTATATCTCAATAAAGCTGGGGGAAAAAAGAATCACTAATAAGCCTGCTATTAAAATTATTCTGGAAATTATTCCAAAGTTCCAAATGTAACATGCTTTGGTTAAGTACACAGCTAACAAAATCTAGTTCTAAAAGCTGTAATTCAAATGAAGGTCTTCTTACTAGGATATAAGCCAACTGTAAAATCAATCACGGATCAATTAACCTAACTTAATTCCTCAAAGAGAGGAGATATTTTTAGAGAACATAATTAAGTTTGTAGCCATTCTGGAATTTACTTATTTTAATTTGAGGAGGCACAAGGGCTAGTGTTGTCAAAAAGAAAAAGATAACCCTTAGTCTTTTTAGTTGAACTGCTATTTGCTAAAGGAAATACTACTGATATATTGAGTTTTGTAGCAAGTCTTCTAACACTGCCCTATATGTCCATGATTTCTAATTTCATATTATTGTAATCAGCATATCTATAGCCATAATTGGAAGGACAGAAAACTATATAAAAATAATTCTCATCAATGAGAAGAACAATGAAAAGATTATTCATAGCTCAAACATGTCTAGGTCAATCCAACTTAAAATCTTATTATTCTGGAATGAATTTTTACTAAAAGACAAGTGTCTTGAGTCTGCATTGGATAGCTATTAAAGACAAGAAAATCAATTGATATTAATCATTAAATTTAAAAATAATCTTAAGTCAAGCCATAAAATGCAACTACCTTATGATATGCATTGCCTGGTAAAGTATTTCAGACTGATCAACTCCAAGAACCTTCTTTGCCCCAGCTTTAGCAGCAAACATAGAGAGAATTCCAGTTCCACAACCAACATCCAAAACTACCTGGTGTAATAAAAGAACAGATGTTATCGAGAAGGTCTAATACTTTAAATCCTATTCATATATGATGATGTTTCTGGCTAGGAATAGATAACAAAATTTAAACTTTACCGATCAAATATGGTAATAATTTCTCTTTGGGGAAATAGAAAATATAATTACATTAAGTTGTTTTAAATTCGTAACAGTGTTTTGGCCACAGTCTGCTGCAATTAGATGCAACAATGTAAATTTAAGAGATGTTTTATATGAAATAAGCAATTCCCACAGACTTATTAAGGGGGAATTAGTCTCTTTTTTATTTCCTTATTGTATGTATGCTCTAATTTAGGCTTAGAAATTCTAAATTTTAACAGAAATAAACTTTCTCAAGATTGAGTGGCAGGAATTAAGCAAGATAGCCTGATCCAGTACAATTTAAAAATGGTTATAAAGGAATCATGAATGGAATATTACTCAGCCATAAAAAGAAACAAAATTGAGTTATTTGTAGTGAGGTGGATGGACTTAGAGTCTGTCATACAGAGTGAAGTAAGTCAGAAAGAGAAAAACAAATACTGTATGCTAACACATATATACGGAATCTAAAAAAAAACTGGTTCTGATGAACCCAAGGGCGGGACAGGAATAAAGACGCAGACGTAGAGAAGGGACTTGAGGACATGGGGCAGGGGGATAGAAGGAGAAGCTGGGACAAAGTGAGAGAGTGGCATGGACATATATACACGACCAAATGTAAAATAGCTAGGTAGTGGGAAGCAGCCACATAGCACAGGGAGATCAGCTCGGTGCTTCGGGACCACCTAGAGGGGTGGGATAGGGTGGGTGGGAGGGAGGCACAAGAGGGAGGGGATATAGGGATATATGTATAAATATAGCTGATTCACTTTGTTATACAGCAGAAACTAACACAACATTGTAAAGCAATTATACTCCAATAAATATGTAAAAAAAAATAAAGGAATCATGGATACAGAATATTGCCATAACCCCTCCACTTCCAAAATTAAATGTTCAACTCATTTTAATAATACAGGTACAATAAAAACAAACTGGCTTCTAGAACTCAGTAACTTGAGAGTTTAATTTTTAAAAATGATATTCACTATCATTGGTGAAAGAAATAAGAAGAACCAAATTCAAGATGTTATTGGGGATAGGCAGGGAGCAATTATTTCTAATCAAGAATTTCACACGGTTCTTCCCAGAACAGTATAGTGAAACGTGCTTGGTTCATAGTAAAAAACAAAAACTAATTACCAAGGAAACACATTCAGCAAAATACTCAGAGGTACACTAGAAATTACTGAAAACTGTAGTGCCTTAAGTCTTTCATTACCAATGACCTGAAACCCTATATACTTGTCTCAAAATATGAAATTATTTCAGTCGTCTTCTACTTTAAGTATTCACTGAGCATTACTAAGTGCAGGCATTGATCATTGTGATGGGGTACAGCAACAAACAAGACCAAGTCCCTGTCCTAATAGAGCTTACAATCTTGTGGGGGAGACAATGAACAGACCAAGAATAGAGAATAAAGAACAGAGAATGTTAACAGAGAATAGTAGTGTTATAAAGAGAACTCAAGCACAGAGTAGACGTTAGAGCAAGGGGCGGGGGACACACTCTTTTAGAATTTTAGATAGGTCTGCGAATACTTCTCTGATACATGTGAGCGGAGAAGGAAATGAAGTAAAGGAGTGTGCCAGGCAAAGATCTGGAGGAAGTGTCTTCTAGCCATAGAAGATATTAAATGCAAAGCACAAGATTCCAGGCAAAGCAAGAAGGCCACTGTAGCTGAGCTGGGTGAGAAAGGTTCCTTGGCGGTGAGATCAGGGTTAAGCAGGGGTCAGATCACATAAAGCCCTTGGATTTTATTCTGAGTAATGGGAAGCTACTGTAAGAAAAATAGAACTAGAATTAAGAATCTATTACATTTTTCAACAATTACTTTTTCACTAGGTAAAACATTCATACAGTTTAAACATCAAAAAGTGTATTTCTTATTTATCCTTCAAAATAATTTTTATGCATATACAATGCAATACTATATATGTATTTCCTTCCCTCCTTTACACAAATGGAAGCATATTATACCCACTGTGCTACACATTGCTTTTTTCCTTAACAATATAATTTAGAGATCTTTCCATATCAGTTTATAGAACTTCTTTCTCTTATATAGCTGTATAGGATTCCGTATCATGGTTGTACCATAATCTACTGATCCAATTCTCTACTGATGGACATTTACGTAGTTCCTGAAATTTTACCATGACAATCAATGCTGTAAATAACATTATACCTAATCCCATTCATACATGAGTAACTCTACAGATGTACAAAGGAGTAAATCTATTCCTAGAAATAAAAACACTGGGTCAGAGAGAATATACATATTTGTAATTCTGCTAAACATAAATTACCCGCCATATGGCAATTCTACTCATGAAGACTCAAATCAGCAATGTGTAAGGGCCAATTTCCTCACAGGTGACACTAGCCCATATAATCAAACTTTCAGATTTCTGCCAATATGGCAAGTACAAAATAATGATATACTGGTCTAGATTTAATGTGCATTTCCATTATCATGAGGCTTTGCAACATCTTTCACATGTTGTAGAGCCATCTGTAGTTCTATGTGAACCATCTATTTTAGCCTTTCTCCATTTCTCCACCAAGTTGTTAGTCCTTCTCTTACCAAATTTCTCTTATCAAATTTTATCAAATAAGAGTTCTTTGTTAGTGAAGAGCAGACCTTTGTAATACGACTTGCAATGTTTTCTCTCAGCATATGATTTTTCGCCTTTTGATTCTGCTTAAACTGATCTTTGCTATGTAGAAATTCTTTACTAACAGTCAAACTCATTAATTTTTTCTTTTAATGGCTTCTGGATTTTGATCATAATTAGGCCAACTTAGCCCATATTCTCTCCTATTTCATTCACACTTCCTTCTGGTACATTTATAGTTTCATTACTACAGTTTTTGTTTTTTTTAAATCATAGTATACACTAAGAGGTATGGCTCCAACTTTACTTCTGTTCAGAAAGCTAACCAATTGTCCCAACATGTTATTAAACAGTCTGTGTTTGCATCCCCCCGAAATTCACACGTTGAAATACTAACCCCCAAGGTGATGGTATTAGAAGCTGGGGCCTTTCGGAGGTGATTATGTCATGGGGACAGACCAAAACACACAGAAATTTTAGTGAATGCTGAAGGTCCCTGTCTCAATTCATTCAGTATACTATAACAAAAATACCATAAACTGAGTGGTTTGTAAACAACAGAAATTTATTTCTCACAGTTCTGGAGGCTGGAAAGTCTAAGATCAAGGCACAGGTTGACTCTGGTGAGGGCCTGCTTTGTGGTTCACAGACATGACTTCTTGCTGTGTCCTCACATGACAGAGGAGAGGAAGGGATCCCTCTGGAGATGTGTATATTTTGGTTTATTTCTAGATTTTTATTCTGCTCCATTAATCTGTACAATCACGTACCAATAATTATTCTAACTATAGAAGCTTGGCAGAATTTCTGTCTAGTAAAACTAGTCCACCCTCACTGCCAATTGTTTTCACAGTGTTTCTGGACAATTTTGTATGTTTATTTTCCCACAAGAACAAGAAAATCAGCTTGTCTATGGTTTCTTTGTTTTTTTTTTTAAGTCTTAGCATTTTTATAGGGATTGCACTAAAATATAAATTTTTTTTTTTTTTTCTTTTTTTTGTGGTACACGGGCCTCTCACTGTTGTGGCCTCTCCTGTTGTGGAGCACAGGCTCTGGACGTGCAGGCCCAGCGGCCATGGCTCACGGGCCCAGCCGCTCCGCGGCATGTGGGATCTTCCTGGACTGGGGCACGAACCCGCGTCCCCTGCATCAACAGGCAGACTCTCAACCACTGCGCCACCAGGGAAGCCCTAAAATATAAATTTATGGAACACAGACAATTTTATTTTGTGTTTTCCATTCAGGAACATGGTATGACTTTCAATTTGTTTAAATCATCTGTTATGTTCTTCAGGAGTTTGGGGTTTTAAAAAATCTTTTTCATCTAAGTCCTGCACATTAGTTAAGTCTGTTCCTACACATTTTATCTTCTGTATTGTTTACTAGTGTAAGTGAAGTCTGTTCCATTACATCTTTTTTAAAAATTAATTAATTTATTTATTTTTGGCTGTGTTGTGTCTTAGTTGCTGCACGCGGGCTTTCTCTAGTTGCGGCGAGCGGGGGCTACTCTTTGTTGTGGTGCACAGGCTTCCCATCGCGGTGGCTTCTTTTGTTGCAGAGCACAAGCTCTAGACACACGGGCTTCAGTAGTTATGATATGCTGGCTCAGTAGTTGTGGCCTGCAGGCTCTAGAGTGCAGGCTCAGTAATTGTGGCGCACGGGCTTAGTTGTTCCATGGCATGTGGGATCTTCCCGGACCAGGGCTCAAACCCGTGTCCCCTGCACTGGCGGGCGAATTCTTAACCACTGCGCCACCAGGGAAGCCCTGTTCCATTATATCTTGAAAATATAATACACCAAAACTGACTCCAGAAGAGACAGAATCTAAACAGTCTAATTTCTATTGAAGAAATAAGGTTACCAAAAGGCTACTGCTCTAAGAAGGACGTGGCCCAGATGGCTCCACAGGGAAATGTGACTGTTCCTGCACATGTGGCCTATCTGGGTGAGTCAGCACATTTTAACATAACCACTTCACACACAAGAAAGTTTAAAATTGTAAGGTGCAATCTATACAACATCACTGCAAGCAAAACTATTTTTTTAATGTTACAAATAAAATATATTAACCACAACATCAAGAAAATACTATAACACAGAGCATATATATTTATAGTATGGTTATAGTATATCAGTTTGAAATATTATGTGGCATAAAATATAAAAATATATATAACACGGGCTTCCCTGGTGGCACAGTGGTTGAGTCCACCTGCCGATGCAGGGGACACGGGTTCGTGCCCTGGTCCAGGAAGATCCCACATGCCGCAGAGCGTCTGGGCCCATGAACCATGGCCGCTGGGCCTGCGCGTCCGGAGCCTGTGCTCCGCAACGGGAGAGGCCACAACAGTGAGAGGCCTGCATACCGCAAAAAAAAAAAAACCCAAAAAAACCCAAAAAATATATATATATAACACAATAGTAAGTGATAACTTCCCAAGAACTTTCATTGAAATAAGATACTTGCAAAATTAAAAATAAAAGATCAGTGTGGAATTTAGAAGTTTGATAGCACAGGGCTTTGGCAATGGTGTTTGGGAATATCAACACCCACACAGTTTCTGGAAAGACAAGTTGGCAGCACTAAAACCATCCTGGGTAGAATGACCTAGGGAGGCCACTGCTAGGAATTTATCTTATTATTCTACTCTCATATTTATAAAAAGATTTTTAATATTTTATATTTTTACATGCAGCATTATTTCTAATATAACTTAAAACAATTTATGGACAATTTTACATTGGGTTTTTGAGCCATTAAAATAATGTTAATAAGGGATTATCTTAGAGAAATTGCTGAACTACAAAAGCTAAGTACAGAAGGGTATGTATCATTTACTCCAATTAGAGTGTGTGTTCTTTTTTAAGACTATACATACACACACATATATAATTTATATACATATGCATATATATATAAAATTCTTCTTTAACCTTTTCTGAAGGAAGGAGAGCCTCAGACAAGGAAAGTAACAGATCCAGAATCATAGAGCTGGTAATTTGTAAAGGTAGCACTCAAACATACATAGGTCGATCTGCTTTTTAAAGCCTATATTTAAATTATATTTTAAATTATATACTAATTATTTATTACATCTAGCTCAGATTTAGGTAGTTGGGCAAATAAACTAAAATCTGGTAGAATCAAAGAAAGAGGTAGAAATGCTAACAGAATACACTAACATTATTTTATAAAATGTTGAAGGAATGTGATTCACTGTTTCTAAAAAAAAAAAGAAAAAGTGTGTCAATTTTAACTTAGATAATAATCAAAAGCATAAAAAAGGCATCTAACTGTGAATTTCTTCAATGAACTACAAATAGAAATTAATTATGAGTGAGTGATAACACAATTACGCCACCCAAAGTTAAATTAAATCTGAGAAACCATATGTCCTCCACAGGAGCTTTGTGAATTAAAACAATATTAAGAAAGAAATGAAGGAAAGGAAGTAGGAAGGGAGGGATGGAGGGAGAAGGGAATGAAGGAAGGAAGACATTTTAAATTTATAAGCACCTTTCTGAAAAATAAATCTCTACCATTCACTAAATAATATGATACAGAAGCTAGTGCTGTGATATGAAATTTGTCTACCTAATGGAGATAAAAGCAAACAAAAACAATGGTAATAAAACTTAAGAAAACATGTTATTTCATACATTTTTTAAAAGAACTATATTTAAATAATTTCATGAACATGTTCTGTCATGGCACACAGAAATTATATGACTTATATATGTAAAATAGTGTTAATTAAAATATGACTAATGAATCCCACCCTAATTACTCATTCTATTTTAACATAACAGTTTCAAAGTGTAGTGGCACAGGGTTAAGGGCACTAGACTAGGACTAAAACCCGCGTTTGTTTGCTTTCTTTTTAGCTGTCTGTTTTAGGGAAAGTCAATTAACCTACTGGTTTCAAATTTCCTCATGTGAAAAATAGAGATGAATACATACCTGCTACGAATACACCATATCGGTATATTGTATAGCAACAATAAGACAACATGCTTGAAAGTATTTTATAAATTATCAAATGCTATTTAAATATGTGTCGTATATTTTTTAAATCTGTAGTCATAGTATAATATAAAGAAATGTATCCCAAATCATTTAAAAATATGAAAGCTCTAGATTACTTAATATTATTAATTATAGAAAATTATATCCTGAATATACTTCAAAGAGTTAGAAATTGACACACATATATTTTACATCACAGTATACTTTTGAAAAAACACAAATGCCAAGCAAAATTAATTACACATTGATAAATTAAATGAAAGCATCTTAGGCAAAGTACTAAGGAAAAATACTCCCTGTTTATTAGTAAGCCCCTTTCTGACTTGGCAGATTTAATCTCTTCAGTAAAAGCAGTAAGTGGAACACAAAATAATTAAACATTCTATGTGTTCCATGGTCACGTATTTTGTCCAAAAATGTATTATATATACAATATTTCTATAAGACTGTTACAAATGAAAAATTAAAAGCAGAAAGGGACTGTGTAGAGGTCTATGAACCCAGTAAGATGTGCTTCATATACATAGAAATATTCATAATTACTTAATTTCCCAATGATTAACCTTATGTTTACTAATACTTGTGCCTTTTCAGTATTTTCTTATATAACACAAAAGTCTATTCAGAGCATATTGAAAAAGAAACTTCTAACTACTTTTACTTAAGGAATTCTTATGGCATTCATATCAAAAAGTATTTTTAAAAAGATGGCTCAAAGAAAGAAAATGATACTGCTTTTATAAAAACAAAAATCATAAAATTTTAGAACCAGAAAGGTTTAAAAAATCATTGTATTTTTATTTATTTTTTATTTTTTAACATCTTTATTGGAGTATAACTGCTTTACCATGGTGTGTTAGTTTCTGCTTTATAACAAAGCGAATCAGCTATACATAAAAAATCATTTTACAAGTGAAGCCCACAGAGATTCACCATGGTCTAAAATTACTATGTAGATGGTTCCTAAGAAGCCAGGCAGGACTAGTTATTCCCAGACTAGAACATGGTTAATTTCTATACAACATATTAAGGAAAAAATAAAATAAAAATCTAGGCAAAATCGAACTGTAAATATAAGGCAACTTTTTTTTTTTTTGCAGTACGCGGGCCTCCCACTGTTGTGGCCTCTCCCGCTGCGGAGCACAGGCTCCGGACGCGCAGGCTCAGCAGCCATGGCGCACGGGCCCAGCCGCTCCGCGGCATGTGGGATCTTCCTGGACCAGGGCACGAACCTGTGTCCCCTGCATCGGCAGGCAGACTCTCAACCACTGCGCCACCAGGGAAGCCCAAAAATGTGTTTTTTTTAGACAAATATTAAATAAATTGTTTCAGCACTTGGGTGCAAACATAAAAACTATAAAAAAAATTCTTAGTCTCTGCTGCAAAAACATATAAAAAGCATACAAAAAGGTCAAGTATAAAGAACTGATAAAAACTAATACTTTAAAAATAAAATAATCATTTGTCTATAGGGGAATTAGCAAAAACAAAGAAACACACACCATCATTACCTCATAGGTAATGCTTTGGCCAAAAGGTATCAGAGCACCATATAAATTTCGCAGGTCCAACTTGGCTAGATCACAAGTGAAACACCGCTCTTAGGAAACAGGTATGGAAAATGAAAAGCCAATCTACATGATATTCCAAACAACATAAATATCAGGGAAAGAGCTTTTCAACATATAAAGGTTGTTAATCACTGCTGCAACATCACGTAAAGCTCATGAAATCACCTGATAGAAGTATCTTTTAAATGGAGGTGAAAGGGGAATTATAAAAACCTGATGTTACCAATATACATGTTCTTGAAGTAGAAAGACTGGGGAAAAATTCCCAAGCAAAAGTATATAAGTGGCAGAGACGATAATATATTTGACTAAATTAGTGGACTAATTTCCAATGAGGAGGAACAAAAACAGAAAACCTGAACTTTTAGATAACCATGCCAATGTAGAGAGGGAGGGAAGGAGAAAGTGAAGAAGAAAAATGGAAAAATTCACAAGGGAGGAAAAACAAATGACACATTTTTAACACACCCACCCATATACAAAGTGAAAGATCACCTTTGAAATAACCTGAGGCAGTATTAACACTAACTGTAAAATTTAAAGTAATTCAGGGCTTCCCTGGTGGTGCAGTGGTTAAGAATCCGCCTGCCTATGCAGGGGACATGGGTTCGAGCCTTGGTCCGGGAAGATCCTACATGCTGTGGAGCAACTAAGCCCGTGCACCACAACTACTGAGCCTGTGCTCTAGAGCCTGCAAGCCACAACTACTGAGCCCACGTGCCACAATTACTGAAGCCCGAGCGCCTAGAGCCTGTGCTCTGCAACAAGAGAAGCCACTGCAATGAGAAGCCCGCACACCGGAACAAAGAGTAGCCCCCGCTTGCTGCAACTAGAGAGAGCCCACGTGCAGCAACGAAGACCCAATGTAGCCAAGAATAAAAATTTTTTAAATTTAAAAAATAAAGTAACTCATAAAAGGGTAAATAAATGAGGTCTTAAAAGAAAGCACATACAATAAATTGTACCTTATAATATTTGACCCTACCTACCAATAATGACTTCTTAAAATTATTAATTTGTAACTAATTAACACAAACTAAAGTAATAATTAGAAGTGCTTTGATACAAAGCTTATACATTTGAAATGAACAGGAATCACAGTAAATCAAAAATATGGTTTAAGCAAAATTATCTGGATAAGCAAAGTTTAACTAAGCTATGTCACTGTAATTAATTTAAAAATTAATTTTAATTAATTTCAATTTTAAAAAAAAGAGTATATTGAATGACAGCACCAATCAGCATTTCTGTTATCAGTATACTGCACCACAGGGCAGCATCATAAAAGTTTTCCATGAAATAAAGCCAGTGTACATGAAATCAACTGCTATCACAATGATGACCTAAGAGAGGATTTCTGCTGCCCAAGATCCACATGAAATGTACAATTCTGTAGTCTGTGCTACTCACCTTATCTTTGAAGATATGTGGATTTTGGTATATAAAATCTCGGTAACTTTCTGTTCGTACTTTGTCCTAGGGTAGAAAGAGGAAGACATTGTGTTTACAGGATAGTCTGAACAAATAAAAATATTTAAGGAAGATATTTGCTAATTTATCACACACTTCTAGTTTCCATAGCTACATTTTGCCTGGAAAACCAAGCCTAATCTTTTTTTCCTAAAAGAAAATAATAAAGAATGGAAATAGCAACAACACACAAAGAAAACGTTTAAGAACAACACTGAAAGTCAAATAAGACCTAAGTTCTTAAAAACGTACATATTTTCATCTTGACATGCACTGTAAGACTTCAAGTGATAATTAATGCTAGTAGAAGATGAACATGATGTTTTACTCCTTTAAATAGGGCCTGGAATCTAGAGCCTGATTCCCTGTGGTAGAACTATGTTAAAATATGGGAGGAAAGAACCAAACTAGATAGATGTAAAAGTTACAGTTACGTATGAAAAATGAAGCTCAACTGAGTATAGTTTCCTAAGAAAGTCACTGATCAGCACCTATCTGATTTATAATCCTGTTTTGTTTCTAGAAATGTCTGTAGTAGGAAATGATGCTTAAAAGCCTATAAGCCTAGGGCTTCCCTGGTGGCGCAGTGGTTGAGAGTCTGCCTGCTGATGCAAGGGACACGGGTTCGTGCCCCGGCCCGGGAAGATCCCACATGCCGCGGAGCGGTTGGGCCCGTGAACCGTGGCCGCTGAGCCTGCGTGTCCGGAGCCTGTGCTCCGCAACGGGAGAGGCCACAACAGTGAGAGGCCCGTGTACCGCAAAAAAAAAAAAAAAGCCTATAAGCCTAAAAGTCAATCGCTTGAGCCCCGCAGACCATATTGCAAGACTTCTCCACTATGGAGTCTCACAAGACCTGTGACCAAGGCAGGCACTGAATGCTAACATTTATGTTGGTGCATGAACATTAGAGCTGATTTCCTTTTAAATCACCTCGGCTGAGACACACGCTGACAGCAAATTCAGCAGTAAGGGGCTCTGCTGCCAAGTGAGTAAAATGAGTATGATAAAAAATAACTCATACCGGGAATTCTAGTTTTCGGTTTCACACTAGGTTAAAAAAAAAAAAAAAAAAAAAAAAAGTAGTTACACTAAATACTACAACATAAAACTTTACACAGTCCATACCCTCCAAAAAAACTTTTATGCCAATACTGGGATTTAAAAAAAAGTACAAAGAGGGGCTTAAATTAAAAGGCAAGCTGTTTTACTTAATTGCTGGATCTAAAAAAGGGAAATTCCATAATTAATTCCATGTTTTCTGATGGAATTACTTCTAATTGCTTTACAAACAAAATTTTAAATCATATTTTAAAAACTGAAATCTTTCCCTCAGTGTATTTTAAGAATTACTATGGGGCTTCCCTGGTGGCGCAGTGGTTAAGAATCTGCCTGCCAATGCAGGGGACACGGGTTCGAGCCCTGGTCTGGGAAGATCCCACATGCCGCAGAGCAACTAAGCCCGTGCACCACAACTACTGAGCCTGTGCTCTAGAGCCCACGAGCCACAACTACTGAAGCTGAGCCTAGAGCCCGTGCTCTGCCACAAGAGAAGCCACTGCAATGAGAAGCCCACACATCGCAAGGAAAAGTAACCCCCGCTCGCCGCAACTAGAGAAAACCCCTGTGCAGCAACGAAGATCCAATGCAGCCAAAAATTAATAAATTTTAAAGAAAAGAATTACTATGAGAACTTCGTTTTAAATGAATTTAAACATAGTATTAATTAATTTAAAAACTGTCTTTTTTAAAAAAAAACATACCATTTCATACATTTCTACCATTTTTATACCCTTCTTACACTGTAACCAGTGATTTTTGCTGACACAACAAAACCTACAAAGGGTGAACATCAGTCAAGAAGGCAGTCACTCGGAAAGCTCTCACCAATCACACTGCCTCGCCGCTGCTCTAACTTAATCACTAGCATCCCAACTCCTGTCCTAAATCCATGCACTGCTGCTCAGCTCAACTACAATCCTTCATCCAGTCTCTTCCTACATATCCATCTGCTTTTGCTCATATGCTCATACTGGTGCAATGAAATTCAAAGTCTACTAAACACAGTGCTGTGGACATAGCAGAGCTTCAATTTAATAAATGAATTTTTGAGAGGAAAATTCACTAAACATGAAAATTCAAGCAAATCAAAGACTAGCCCTCAAACCATTTCTAAAAATTTATTCTAACAAAAGACTAACTCTTCAATATAAAATAAGGTAATAAACAGAAATAAAGTTATCTTTTGCACTAACCTAGTAAAACTAAGAAGCACAAAAGAATAAAATTAGAGGTCCAATATTAAGAAGCAAGACAATCTTTTAAGGCTAGTACAGTGTCATGGAATAATTCCTACCAATATTAAAAAAAATTAAGTATAAGACTAAAGACAACAGAAAAGTTATGTATTATAAATTTTACCTATATAAGTAACAGTATGTTTTAAATGTATAGGCTCATGAAGGTGGACAGAATGCAAGAGTCAGCTGCAGGTACAATGAGGAAAATGCAGTAATGAAAAATTAATGGTACTATAATCTGTGATAAATGTTCACCACGATGAACAATGTTTTACTTGGGGAGAAAAAAAAGGAGAGTGATGCATCTCCGAATTATAACATTAGCAACAATGACTCTTCTTCAGAAAGATAAAGTGGCAAAGGATTCTGAAAGTTAATGTCCACTACTATCCCGTTATCTCTAGAATTCAAAAAAGTTATCTTCACCTTGACTCTGGAAAATAAGATTACAAACTGTCTTTATTTATAATTATAATCACAACATATGCCAAAAAAGTGTCATTAAAATACCTGTGACTAGTAAGTAACAAAAAATCCAAATAATATTGTTATAAAAGGCCAATTCTAAGCATAAAAATAAGTCCTGTATGCATGGCTTCTCAATTTTAATTTATTTATAAAGATCAGGTGAGACTCCAGTAGTAGCACAACCTTGAACAAATTATGTGTGCTAAGAACTGTTTTGATAAGAAATAGGAGAAATATTGCTTGATATAAGGCACATTTCATATTCATCCACAGTATGTAACTTAACAAAACATAAAATGGACAAATAGTTCTTTTTGAATGAAATATATCCATATTTCCTATAAAGACTTAAGTTATCTCCAAGGAGAAGGTGGTTACATTGTACAACAGCAAAGGGGAATTAAGGCATGGAAACTTATATTAATAAGGAGTCTTAAGTGATTCTCTAAAAGTGAAAACACAGCACTGGAAACTTCCAGCTGGAACTTCTTAAATATATATGTACATCAAAAGGACTTAAAATATTCCATCAGGTGTAAAGATCCTCTAGTTGTTGATACAGAGCTACAAGGGTCCAGGACAGAGATTTGGAAGTAAGTCCAAACTGGATTTCCCTGATGACTGTACTGAGAGCACTCAGATGTACTATCTTCTAGGAGTCTCAGTAACCTTATCTGTCTGAAAAACCCAACTAAAATTACCATATCAAAAGCATTAAAGGTTCATGGCATTGAAATTGATGGGGTGATTTATAACGGCAAACATGGGCTTAGATTAACTCCTTTAAAGGAAATATTCTAGACACAATAAAATTAATTTTAAAAGAGAAAATGGAGTATGTCAATTTCTTTTAAACAAATTCACTCTGGACTTAATTTATTACTTAGCAACAGTTATAACTGTTATTTGTAATGCTATGCAACTACCCAAGTGACAACAAAAAGCACAACCAACTGTGACAAGTCATTAGCAAAGAAATGACATGACATTGCTTTAAAAGACCCCAAGTAATTACAATTACTATTAATCAGCAAACCTCCACTCTGTGATCCTGCAAAACTGACTCAACAAAATATATACTCATTAACTACCCCTGGTTATCTTAAATGGGCATGTTTCAAGGAACACAGTCTTGGGGTGTCCGTAAAATAAACCAATCTTTTGAGGAAGGATTCAGAAAGGAATTTTTCGTTTGTTGGTTTTTAAGAAAAAAAAGTAGTGGCATCTAAAATTCACAGAGATAAACATTAAAGTTTTCAGTAATTTTTACACTCCAACATTTATTTTACTCTAGTTAGATATTTTCAGTTTTACTGAATTAAAAAACCATTTTGCTATTTTATAATCTATAATACATGATAAAATGTACATAATATACCAGGTATACCTAGAAATCTACTTATAGTTTATATGGACATTACCATTATAAAACTTAAAACCAACCAAATTCAAGTATCTGATTTAGGAAATTCTTCTATATAGCAATGATTTCAAATGTAAAAAAGTAATGCCGTAACAACTGTGAGAATTATTTATAATTAACTTTGTACCAAAGAATTATTATTCGCCCAAACTAAAGTCAGTACTGCTAATTAAAACACTAAAATTAATCATTTCCTTCACACATTAAAAGGCAAACGTATTTTTCTTCCTATTTAAAAGTTGCTCTTGAGAAGACTAAAATCGTCAGCAATTTTTTTGAATGTTTTATTCCCAGCAAAAGGTAATCTCATAATAAAGATTAATAATGATCTTAAACAGAATTTACAGTGTCTCTGATGCTTCTATAATCTTTTCAATGCAAGATGAGCTATCAAGCACCAAAAAGATTTAAAAAGCAGTTCTCAAAAAAACCAAAAACCAAAAAAGCAGTTCTCCCATATGTATTAAGAACCTTTTTACTCTATTTTTCCTTTAGTATGGATTTGGTACATTTGTGCTCTTTTCTAACCTTTAGCATTTCTTCATGTATCCCATAATGCCCATATGAGCTGAAATAAACGCCATCCTCATCCTCCTGGAGGTCTGCAATGGCGGTTGTAGATGACGAGCAGGTTCTGACATCTGCGTTCATCACAAAATCCTGAGCAAATTGTCTGTAATCAATTTGAAATACACCCTTGAGACAAGTTTACTGGACCATGAAAAAAGGAAAGGCTAGAGGCTGAGGAAGAGGAAGGGGGAGGGGGGAGGGAGTGCGCGGTGTGATGAGCCTTCTAAATCACGTTCTATCTTAAGCACGGAAAGCTCCCCCTGCTGGATCTTAAGCAATGGCATATTCAAACCCAGCTGGAAGCATTCCTTCTACAAATCACAAAAGCACTGCCAACTGCAGGCTATGGCTGTTTTATCTTTCAAGTGAACAAAATAAGCACACTATGACTTTATTCAACTTTATTATTTCTATTGTTCCAAAATCTTATTTTAGCAGCTGAATCAATAGAGCATATTCCAATGCTATGAATATTCTTTAAAACCATAGTATCTCATGGAAGGGTTATATAGGCAGAAAGCAGACCCAAACTGGGAATTATTTACACACATCAACACCATCTGCTCAGGCTCTAAAACTCAGCTCCTTCTCTGATAACAACACATCAAGAATCTATGAGGTATATATGGGAGAGAAGTGTAAAGAGGCACATAATAGATTACCCAGCATAAAATCTCAGAAAAAGGGAAACTACAATCAGCTATACTATTTTTCCTGCTGGACATTCTGGCAAACCATCAAAAATGGGTAATTGGGCAATAGCAGCCAACTTACAAATCTAATAGGTTAAGTTAGAGGTATATACACTTAGTAGTAATGCAGAATCTCAGACACTACCTATTTCAGGTCTCCTGAATCAGAATCTAGTTTAACGAGATACCCAGATGATTCGTATGCACATTAAATTCTGACAAGTACTAAGCCAGCAGAATGTTAATTTACTCACTAGAGAAAACCATCCTATGTAGCTCGTTTTCTGATTATATACTTCATCATAATTATATTGTGATTCTTTAAAAACAAAAATTTCAACCCTGTATTTTCCACAAGCCTAAAAAATATTAATCCCTACACTTTAAAAAGTCCAGGAGAGAAAAAGTAAAATGGAGAAATCTATTAGAAATAAGGTAATTCAAAGGAAGGCAATATCAAGGAACAAAAAGCACTCAGGAGGAACACACTCCCCAGAACAATTATCATTAGTACAAAAGTAATTATAAAGAAATATAAGAGGACAGATAAAACTACAGAATTTTATGTTAATCAACGATATCCACAATGTATAAAAAATACTGCGTACCTTTAATATTATTGAAATTAAAATATCTACACTGTGCTTTCCAGTATATGAAATATTTTACCATCTTTTTATGCTATCTTTTTATGAATATATTATTTTGGGGATCTAAACAATTAATTTTCTATAAGATTGATAAATTACTTCATTCTTTGCAGATCCTCACGCGCTCCAGCTAACGCAGCTTCAGCAGACAGTGCCCTGGCTTCCATGTGTTTCAATTTTTCAACAACTGATGTATTTTCACGGAGTCCACTGGGGTATGAGAATGGAACTGACACGGGTTCATAAAGATCTTCTACATCTAAATAAACAAATGGACATTTCTATCAGGCCATCTTATAACAATGAAGCACATATAAATGTGTTACGAATAAGTATATACTAAGTGCCTATTATGCGGCCAACTGAGAAAAATTAGTACTTTTAATTAAATAAATATTTAATATCCAAACTATTCCAATTTGAGTTTAAAGAGCATGCTGTTAGTCTAAACTTTTCACTAGTTGGCTAAACTGAACACATAAATAAGCATTAATTGTACTGAACCAAACCAGGAAGAAATAAAAAGGTAGAAGGAAAAAACTCATATTTATTGATCATCAGGTATCTTTCAAGTTCATGCATTACATCTCATTCCATCTTCAAAACAAACCTAAAATATAAACATTTATCCCTATTTTAAGACATGGGAAAAATAAATTTCAGAGAAACTGACTAGCCCAAAGTCATGCAGCTGTTTAATGAAGGAACTACAATTCAAACCCATGCCTGCCTTCCCAGCCCGTGTTCTTGCCACCACACAGGGCCACCTCCAGCCTCTGGGTCTTTATCTGTAGAGTAACAGGTATGACATTTAGATATTCCTTAAGGACAGTGTGTAGGTAAGGAATTCTGTACATTCAATAACTTTTTCATCATGGGTAAGGTGGTGTGCAATCTATACAGTCTTATTGCTGACATTATTAAATATCCTAATTCCTAATATTATTAAAAATTCTTGATTTAAATTTAATTTCACTATATGTAAATCATTAACTTCTGCTACATAAGTTAATATATGTAAATCATTAACTCTGCAAACAGAAGTTAATATATGGAACTAGTGAGTTTTACAAAATCCCAATGTCCACTGACCCGTCTAATTAACTGTTGAATCAACTTAAAGCAATGAAAACAATGTAGATAATACACTGTCTCCTCAGTACAGCTCTGAGGGAAACACGACTTTTTTTTTCCTATTCAGTTTTTACCTGCAACACTTCTTTAGAGCTGGGACAAAATAACTAAGCTTCACAAATATATGATAATATTATAACTTAGAGACTAGAGCCTAAATTGAACTTGTTATAAAAGCAGTATGGTGTGCCACGAAACTCTAAACAGTCTACCAGAATACTGACTCGTTGCTTTAAAAAACTACAGATTCGGGCTTCCCTGGTGGCGCAGTGGTTGAGAGTCCACCTGCCGATGCAGCGGACGCAGGTTCGTGCCCCGGTCCGGGAGGATCCCACATGCCGCAGAGCGGCTGGGCCCGTGAGTCATGGCCGCTGGGCCTGCGCGTCCGGAGCCTGTGCTCCGCAACGGGAGAGGCCACAATGGTGAGAGGCCCGCGTACCGCAAAAAAACCCCAAAAAACTACAGATTCATCCACTATTTAGTTCACCAAAAATTAATGAGCAACAAAATATTGCCGAACTATTAAAGGATGGTGTACCGTATTTTCTACTTCCTACTACAACTCTCATTGTGTACCTTGTCTTTAAAATTCTTCACACTGTCTGCAAACCACCTTGTTAATTTAAGTTATGGATTAGAACTAAACAAAGAAATTGGTTTCTTTGTTTTGGCTAGTTTCTCTATTTTGCTTTCTGCTGCAAGAAGTGAGTCAGAATAAAAGCTGTCAGCATTAATAACACAGTTGTCCCTTGGTATCTGTGGGGGATTTGTTCCAGGACCCCCCTCCCTCGGACACCAAAACCCGCAGATGCTCAAGCCCTTGGATAAAATGGCGTATTTACATATAACACTTTAAATCATCTCTAGATTCCTTATAATACCTAACACAATGTAAATGCTATACAAATAGTTATAAATACAATATAAATAGTTGTCACTGGGCAGCAAATTCAAGTTTTACTTTCTGAATTTCTGGAACTTTTTTTTCCTGAATTTTTTTTTTTTTTTTTTGGCTGTACGTGGGCCTCTCACTGTTGTGGCCTCTCCCATTGCGCAGCACAGGCTCCGGACGCGCAGGCTCAGCGGCCATGGCTCACGGGCCCAGCCGCTCCGCGGCATGTGGGATCTTCCCAGACCAGGGCCCAAACCCATGTCCCCTGCATCGGCAGGCGGACTCTCAACCACTGCGCCACCAGGGAAGCCCTTCCTGAATATTTCTGATCCAAGGTTGGTTGAATCCAAAAATGCAGAACTCCCAGATATGACGGCCAACTGTACACAGATAATTATATATTAAAGTGTATAGCTTTGAAGAGGAGAAAAGATTCAGTAAACATTACGATGCATAACTATAATATATCAAAACAGTCTAATTTAAAGTCCTAAACCATATTCAGGAAGATGAACTTCCACATTTATATTCTGTCTCAGGAGGTTCAAATCACCTGGATACTTCATTTTGGCAGTTGAAAACTACCATAAAAATAGTCAATTTAGGGCTTCCCTGGTGGCGCAGTGGTTGAGAGTCCGCCTGCCGATGCAGGGGACATGGGTTCGGGCCCCGGTCTGGGAAGATCCCACATGCCGCGGAGCGGCTGGGCCCGTGAGCCATGGCTGCTGAGCCTGCGCGTCTGGAGCCTGTGCTCCGCAACGGGAGAGGCCACAACAGTGAGAGGCCCGCGTACCACACACATACACACAAAAAATAGTCAATTTATCAGGAAGACATAACAATTATAAATGAGAATAAACCTCACAAAAGAGCTTCAACATACACAAAGCAAAAGCTGATAGAATGGCAAAAAAAGACAATCCTCTAATCACAGAGATTTAAATACACCCCTATCAACAACCGATAGAGGTAGATTTTTAAAAATCCAAAAAGACATAAAAGATCTGAACAAAAATATTCAGCACCATGAATTATTTATAGAATACTGCACCCAATTACTGTATCTTGACATTTTTGAAGAACACTGATCAGTAATTTGGTAGACTGTCCCTCAACCTGGGATCATCTGATGATTTTTCATTATTAGAATGAGGTTAAACATTTTTGGCAAGAACAGCAGAGAAATGACGTTGCCTCCTCAGAGCATTACACCAAGGGGTTCATGGCGTCAGTACACTTATTACTGGTGATGTTAACCTTGATCACTTCGTTATGGTAGTGTCTGCTCAGTTTTTCCACTCAAAAGTTTAACAGCTCCTTTGTAGTTAAATTTCTTGGGGGACATACTTTGAACTATGCAAATCCTATCTCACCCGCCTAAATTTTCACCCACTAATCTTAGCATGCATGGGTTGCTCTTTTCTGCAAGTTACTACCGTGGTGTTTGCCTAATGCTGATTTTGTGTTTCTCTTTTTCCTTTGACATTTATTAACAGGAATTCTACACTGAAGTGGAGCTACTCCTTCCCATTTATTTGGTTGCTTATTCATGTCAAGAAGAATTCATGGACATTTATTTTATCCTATGGGTTAAAACCCAATACTGTCATTTTCTGTATTGATTAAATTTTTCTAGCTTTGGCCACTAGGAGGTCCTTCAGGTTGGTTCCTGTGTTCTTTAGGTTAAGTCCCCTCTTCCCCCACTTTTTCTTAAGTACTTCCTAATTTTCTGGAACAAGGTGTCCTAGACTTATCTTGTATTTTCCCTGCCCCACCTGGAAATCAATCACCTCTCTAAGGACCCTTGGTTCCTTTTATTAATAAAGGATTATAAATCAAGATCTGGGCACTAGGTATGATCATTGCTACTGGGGTTTTTCTAGGCCCTTTCAGCAGAGCTCGGAAGTATATGTATTATACTAACCACACACACACACACACACACACACACACACACACACACACACACACACACACACACACACACACACACACACACACCCTACATTTCTGTATCTGTCTGTCTGTATAAGAAAAACTATGAATTTACACTGACACTTCTGATTCCAATTTGTCAACACAGGACTCATTTCATCCTTCATTTCCTTATCTGAAACCTCATTCTCCAACTGTGAGAAACCTGGCTTTTATCCATAATTTTTTAAAATAAATTTATTAATTTTATTTTTTTATTTTTGGCTGTGTTGGGTCTTCGTTGCTGTGTGTGGGCTTTTTCTAGTTGTGGTGAGCAGGGGCTGCTCTTCGTTGCGGTGAGCAGGCTTCTCATTGTGGTGGCTCCTCTTGTTGCAGAGCACGGGCTCTAGGCATGAGGGCTTCAGTAGTTGTGGCTTGCAGGCTCTAGAGCGCAGGCTCAGTAGTTGTGGCGCACAGGCTTAGTTGCTCCACGGCATGTGGGATCTTCCCGGACCAGGGCTCAAACCCGTGTCCCCTGCACTGGCGGGCAGATTCTTAACCACCGTGCCACCAGGGAAGCCCCATCCATAAATTATTAACTTACATGTTCCATTCTAGCATACACAAAAATAGCGTCAGAATTGCTAATTACCTTAGCAGGTAATTCTAATTACCTTACCCTGCAAGAAATGCCTTTTCTTACTGGATTACAACGTTGATGCAGTTCTTTTTATCTGTAGCCTCAGCACAACATCCATTAAAGGTTTCAGTTACTCACCTAGTTCTTTTCCTCCCCACTCCCTGCAGTATGGTTACATTATTCCTTTGTATTACAGTTCAGTTCATCTGTTAGTGCCTGCATTCCACTTCGCACCAGCACCACCCTTGTATACATACATCCTCGTTGTTTCAATTGTTGATTTTTTTGATTATATGAAGGCTATAAAAAACATTACTGGGCTTCCCTGGTGGCGCAGTGGTTGAGAGTCCACCTGCCGATGCAGGGGACACGGGTTCGTGCCCCGGTCCGGGAGGATCCCACATGCCGCGGAGCGGCTGGGCCTGTGAACCATGGCCGCTGAGCCTGCACATCCGGAGCCTGTGCTCCGCAACGGGAGAGGCCACAACAGTGAGAGGCCCGCGTACAGCAAAAAAAAAAAAAAATCGCATGTTCAGTTTTTTAGGTATTGCTAAATCTGCATTCTACTAGCAATCTTAGGACAGTGCCTGTCTCTCCACAGCTTTGTCAACAGAATGTGTTGTCATATTGTAAAAATTTTTACCAGTCTGAGAGGTGAGAAATGGTATCTTGCTATTGGGCTATTTTCCTACCTCTTTTTGGTAGAATTTTTCCCCATTTTTCTATCAACTGTTTTGATCCTTTGTCCCTTAATTTTCAAGAGTCTTTTATGTAAAAAGGATATTAACCCTTTGTGGAATATGTTTCAAATATTATACCATACTTAAAAAAAAATTAACTAAACTCCATTTTATTCACTCAGATTTCATTAGTCTTCCTCTAATGTCCCCTTTCTGCCCCAAGATCGCATCCAGGATACCACATATGTTTAGTTGTCATGTCTCCTTAATTAAGCCCCTCTTGGCTACAACAGCTTCTCAGGCTTCCCTTGACATGGACAGTTTCGAGGAGTACTGGTCAGGCAGTCTGTAGAATGTCCCTCACTTTGTGTCTGTCTCATGGTTTTTCATGGTTAGACTGAGATTACTGGCCTGGGAGGAAGACCACTGAGGTAAAGTGCCATCCTCATCACATGATATAAAGGGTCCATACCACTGACATTACATCACCAATGATGTTAACCTTCATTACCTGGCTAAGGCAGTGTTTGCCAGGTTTCTCCATCAGTATAGTTACTTCTCCCCACTTACACTGTACTTTCATTGCCTATTTTCTTAGTTATCTCCTTCTTAAATTTAGTCATCTTTATATTCTCAAAGCCTAATACAAAGCAGATGCTCAATAACTATTTACTGAAAGACAGTGCAGGTGAAATAGTCAGTAATCAAGCCAGGAGCCATGAGAATGAAGAACCTTCTCTTCCATCTCTCTACACCAATGGCCAGGAGAACAGATCTTCTGCTTTTTTTTTTTTGGCTGTGCCGTGCGGCTTGTGGGATCTTAGTTCCCTGACCAGGGTTCAAACCTGTGCCCCCTGCAGTGGAAGCATGGAGTCCTAACCACCAGACCGCCAGGGAAGTCCCACAGATCCTTTGAGAGGCACGGGCGGTGCACTAACAAGCATGCCCAGTTCAAGTTCCACCTCCTTTACTAGGCCCCTTAACTGTTCCAGATCTCGGTCGTGACTTCTTCATCTAAACTCCTTAGAACGTATTTACTAATAACAATAAATTCTCCTTCATTAAGCACTTACTCTCTGACAGGCACTGTGCTAATATGCATTATCTTTGTAACAATTTTATAAGGTAGGTGTCATTATCACCTTTTTATAAACTAAAATTAAGTCTGAAAGAAGTTAAGTTAATATACCTTTGGAGAGTGAAGAGGTCAATACCGATCTGTATCCATAGTGACCAGCAAATAGCACTCAGTATCTGTTGATCTGAGTAATCTCTTCCTCTTCTGAACTGCACTATTTTTCCTACTTCTCATGAAACTTACTATATTCCACCTTATCTTATAATACAGGACAGTCATTCAAAAACAAAACACTCCTACTATTAGACTGTGGGCTCCCAATGTGAAGGATTCATTTCTTCATATTTCTAAAGTATTTAACATACTACTTTCAACCTGTGAGTGTTCAATTTTGAGTTTAGGGAGTCACGAAGAACACCTAGTGGGCACTTTGTCATGTATCAAAGAGATCACTTTGGTTAATCTGAGGAGAAATAAAATTTAATAGAAGTTGTAAAAATGGGAAAGAATCAACCTAGGCCTCACCAAATTTTAGAGGTAGAAAGTTGGAAATCTGGCCCTAGTTCTCATTTTATAGATGAAGACCTAAAAAACAGAAAGCTTAAGTGCTTTGTCCAGGGTCACTTAGTTCCTGAATCCTACATTAAGGTTCTTACTACTGCATCACACTGCCACACAACTTCTCTTGATGGTACTTCTCAAGGAAATGAGTGGTTTTCCACAGTTCCCACTTACCAAAGGACTGCCCAAATACACACTGTCAAACTACTATCTGAGAAGGTATGTGTCTGTTTAGAATGGTCTTGCTGATCCGAAGACAGCAAACCCCTCTATCTCACCTAACTGGCACAAAAAACATGAAAGCAAGCATAAATTTAAAAAATAATAAAAAATCATGAACTCCAACAAATTAGACCTATAGAGAGACAACAGAATTTTCATAAGATTCCTGTTCAATAAGGAATGAACCAAAGCACAGAGCAAGAAACTAAGAAAGCTACAGTCAAAAGACGAGTGACCCTGCCACAAGGGAGGCTTAAGAGTTAGTATACGTGGGGAATTTTCGTGGAATCTGTCCTGCACTGAAACAAAAGCTCCATAAATTAGATGTCTTAAGAAAAGTCATGTATCTGATTGTATTATGAGGTAAAAACAGCAATATTATTAAATTTACTTAAATCTATTAAATATTAAATATACTGATTTAATTTCTTTTATTTAAATTTAAAATTTCATCGATTTTAATTACATTAAAAATCAGTCTGACAACTAAAAATTATTCTCTCAAGTCTCCCTATGTTTCAAAACATCTTTTACACAATGTTTAACCCAAGCTCATATTCCTCCCTGGTAACTGTTAGTGTGACTCTCACTTTCTAAGTGACTTAACGTTCCTTCTGAAACCAACTACCTGACGAGGTCTTTAGAGAATCAGGGAGATGATATATTTTCCTGTAACACCTAACCACTATTTTGCCATAACAAATGACCCTGCTTTAAAGTAGATACCATATGTTCATCTTACCAAATTGAAGTAAAAGGTCATCTTCTAATACCGGCTTTAAATACTCTTCTTTCTCCCAAGGCACTGGGTTGTATATGGAATTCATATATTCAACTGGAGGATTCTGGAAGTAAAATTAATTGCATATTTTTTCACTGCACATAATCACAAAATCCCCCTACCAAAAAACTGGGAAAATTAAACAAAAAGGAAATCATGTCTACATCACACAAAATCTCTATTTAAACAGTCTATGTTCACCGGCTATTTCATTAACTTGACTGAATGACTGCTTAATTGTTTCAATGCACAGTTTTATATTGTTTGGATTTTGAGGAAATGGCAATATAAACATCAACTGACTAGAACAAAGTATTTAAAAAACAGAACAAAAAGAGTAACCAAAGCACTTAAAAATCGCACTAGAAATTATTTCTGATTTTACAGAAAGACTATCAGTATTCCCCTTTATCTGACAGTGAATTACTTTGCCACATAACATTGATTCATCTCCTACACAAAATTAAAAACCACACTTAAGTATGGTATGTATCCATTTACTTGGTGCTGTATGTTGTGCTAGTTCCTAATGTCCATGATTCCCCCAATATCATGAGTGTCAAATTTAAAACAGTTCCTTATACAGCAGTGCCTCATATTCTTTTAAAAATCGCTGCATTGATAATCGCTGTAGTACTTCTTTAGGTTTTAAACAAAACTGTAGATTAAGCTACCACCTTACCTTAAGTCTAATAAAATTTATTAGTTTAATGTATCCATAAAATTCAAGTCCTAAAAGGGAAAAAAAAAAAATAATTCACCTATTTTAACATAACATGAGTTTTGTTTCATTAACCTGCTCCGAAGATGCTTCTCTGGTTAGACAATAAAATATTTCTGTCCTCTCAAATACTACTTAAAAGTTTTGAATTTTTTATTAAGAACTAGAAACAGTAACTCTGACACTTCAGAATATTTTAATTGAGAAACAGCCAGAAAGGACAAATTTTTAAGTGCTTTTCTTGCATTTCTGAAAAATTGGAAATTAATTTTTAGAATTCTACTCACTTATCAGAACAATACAGATGAGGAAAATTAGGCCCTTGATTTTACCAAGTATTTGGCAGCTAATACGAGAGTTGATACTAAAGTTTCTAAATCCCCAATTTTTATGGTACCTACCAAACTATAATTTTGCCAGGACACAGAGTATACAAAGTATACTAGCTTTTACATTAAGTTAAATGATGCAGATGAAAAAAACAGTGAGGCTTGTTATCTGGTTCTCATCTTTTCAGAAATGAAGCAGCATTTAAAATAAGGGAAAGCAATAGCATACCCAACCAATTATTATTTGTCATGAGAAATACTGTTATGAGAACATACCAGCATATAAAAAAGTTTCATATGCGTAATAGCACACAAAAGCCCCTATTTGGTATTGAAAAAGATATAAAATAATATAAAGTACAGTTTCAATTCAGTTTTAAAATGCACATTAAAAACATGAAAAAAAATGAAACTAAGTCACTTATATCTTACAAAAGTAGTTGCAGTTGAATTTATGATTCATAAACATACTGTATCATATGTTTATCTGAGACCCCAAATCTGCCTAATATTTGGTATTCTTCAGTAATGTCCTTTCTAGTTGTTAGTAAATACAGGGACCAAAAAGCCAATTCTGTATTTAGTTAATATTAGTGGGATACTGTAGCTCTTCTATATTCGTTTAAATTAGAAGGCTTTAATTTTAAGTATGTTTAGATGCAAGTTTCAACAGAATCATCAGCTGAATCTCTGGATTACCACCTTAACTTTAGCACTCGCTTTTTCCACACTCTCTTACCAAACTCCTTATAAAACTCAATCTTGTATGCCTTGAAGTCCATGTTATGCTTTGACCTGATAAGTTGTCTTTTTTCATAATGATCCACCTCCTTTTCCAAAGTCCACCTCTATCCTTTGCTCTCCCTAATTCTAATATCCACGCCCCTTGTCTTCCTAATTCTAAAATGATTAAAATGTAATCACATGCCAAGGATTTTTTGGTTTTTTTTTTTCCTTTTTTGTTGTGAAGGCAATTTAAGCTTAAATACAGTCAATCATATCTAGAAGAATGACTTATTTATCAATCTTTCCTCAAAAGCCATTTGTCAAAAACACGCCATTTTCATAAGTTGTTGTCATGTGTTTCACTATATTGGATTTGTATAGGAAAGAAATGGTCTGGAAAAACATAATGTTTGAATTTAAATTTCTCAACTAAAATTTTCTTTATTCTAAAAATTACTCACCATGTTTATGAACCATGTTATCAATATTAAATTGATGCTCAGACTTACAGTGTGAAAATGTTTCTTCAGCAGATGTAAATAACCTGAAAAACCAAGCAACAGCTTCATGAAATAGTCCCCTAAGAAGTCTAAATATTGACTTCATGTTAGATATAAACTTTTCCCCCTCACTCTGCAGGTTTCCAGTTTTACTTCCAATTAATTAAAAAAAACCAAACACACCTGTAGAGAGGAACCCAGCACTCCTAAAGGGAATTAGTACTTCTGAGTCCCATTTTACACCTAAAACAAACCACCCTTTAAAATGTTGAGCTGAATTTGCCAAATAATAGCACTGAATTTATCATAAGGCTTCTAAGAAAGAGAACTCCCTTTGATAGACTGTGTCTCTTAAGACCTGAAAAATTCACTGCATAAGATTCTTTTCTCCTCTAAGTATCAACTCTGCTTTCAGAGGCTCTGAACTGACACAGCTCAAACTGCTTTTAGAAATAAAGCATAAAATGTAATTTTATAGCTGGTAAATTCCCAAAGTGCCATATTTCAAAAAGTGGTCTTACAGTGCTCCCCAAGGATTTGTATTATAGACACTGTGAGGGTCAAGCTCCTTTATTCTGTGACCTGCAAAACTGAAGGACGTGTAATAAGAACACAGGGCAGAGAGCCTGCATTACCTCTTCTATATGCTTAGCACATATGCAGCAGTTTTCAACAAACGTTTACCGAGAGAGCTTATTTATACAGTATTTACACAGCCTATCACAAAGAAGTACCTCCCTGATGCTCAATAAATATTATTTTTTGACGACTACAGTATATGCAGACATCCCGTACCTACCCACATGAGGCTACACGTGGGAACAATGACGAATCATCAGAAGCTAATATACCACCAATCAGCACCATGCTGAGACTCAGGGGATACTGGTAAAATGTTTATTAAAGTAACACTGGCCAGTGCCAACCAGGCCTCTTTCACACCCACTTGCCCAGGACAGCAGCCAAAGTCAAAGATGAAGAGGCAGAATTTTAAGTGGAAAAAACATGGATTTGGTTATAAGACAAACCACAGCTTTGTGACTTTGAACAAGTTACTGGTTATTGCAGCGTCTTTTTCCCTAAGTGAAAATAGTATCAATTCCTTCCCCTTCAATTGGGGGGGGGGAGCCCCTAACAAAGGTGATTCTTTAAACGGCTCAAATGGAACTATTACACCTGATAAGCTTTCTAACTGTCAAAGAATTATAGAATGGGAGAGCCTGAACGGTTCTAGAAGGTTGAGGGATTAATCGAGTTTAGTGACTCCCAAACTTGTTACTCTTTAGAATCACTTCAGCTAGGGTCTTTGTAGAAACGGATTCCTAGACCCTATCCCTTATTTACAAGGGCTGAGGTGCAGTTTAGCATCTGTGTATTTTTTTCTTAAGTGTCTCAGGTGACAGAGGTGCACAACCAGATGTGGGAACCACAGATCCGGCCCAGAACCCTTTCATTTTACACAAGAGGAAACTGAGGCCCGTCAAAGTGAAGCAGTGTAACCTGGCTTCCAGTTCATGGTTCCTCCCTGGAAACCACTGTGGGTCTTCCGGCTCAACAAACCCTCACTCCAAAGCACGGGCTCCAGACTTCCAGGGCAGCCACTTGGGCTGGACTCCAGAGGAGCAGACCACACAGACCCACGGGGCCCGGCCACCCTAGGGCTGGCGCCTCGCGCTGAGGTGGACGAACCTGTCACAGAACAGGCAGGGGGTCTGCTGCTTGTCGTGGGGGAGATCGGCATCTTCCGCATCCTCCCAGGAGGCCTCGTCACCGCTGTCTGACAGTCCTGGCAGGTCGTCCTCCTCCACAGCGCCCCGGCCGCCTAGCACACGCAAACGGTCAGCTCTGCCTCGGACCCCAGTGCCAGGAGGGCGGACGAGGGGCAGCAAAGCGAGAACGCTCTGGGCCCGGCGGGCCCTCCCCTCCACCTCCACCTCCCTCTTTGCGGGCCCCACCACCCCGGCTCCGCGTCCCGGGCGCAGGGGGAGGGGAGGGGCTTTCACCGGCCCCACGGGGTCGCGGCCTAGGGGCTGAGGGGCCGGGGTACCCACCATCTGCGCCCAACGCTAACGAACACATGGCGGCGGTGCCGCTAGAGCCCGGCGCGCCTGGGGGCGGGGACCAGGCTGGGCAGCGCAGGCGCAACTGCCTCCGAGCCCTCCCCGCCCGAGAACCCGGGAACGAGCGTGAGTGTGAGCGTGAGGGCGAGCGCGGGCACGCGGTGGGGCCGAAGCTCCGGGAACCCTGCGGCGCCTGGAAACAGGAGCGCGTGCGCGCCGGCTCGCGAGCGCTTCCGGCCTCGGGGCCGCGGCGTTCTTCATGTGAGCTGGGGTGGGCGGGGCGAGAGCCCGGGCTCCGCCTCCTGCCGCAGGGTTGATGCAGCGCGCGCCGAGTAAGCGCTGAAACCTGGGCTGGGCGTTGCAGGCTTGGACCTGGCTTTTGTTTTCTCCTCGGGATGCGGCAGACCTTAGCGGGTGGTCCTAAACCGCGGCCCAGAGCCCAGAGGTGGAAGCGGTTCTGCAGTCGGCATCGCGCACCCTGTGCGTCCCTTATTCGAGGGATGAGCGGTTAGTGGTGGGCGACCTGCCCGCTGCGCCCTCTGGTGACGGAGGAGGTCGAACGCAGGAGAGAGGCTGGTACTCCACACTGGTTCCGGGGCTCCCTGGTCCCCGTGGGGTGCGGCTGGGGAGGGAACTGCAGGGGCCAGTGGGTGTACCAGGGGCCACAGAGGAGCCAGAGCCACGAGGGCTGTTTTAAGGAGTTCAGTCTTTAAAGTGTATGTCCCAAGTTCTAGTGCCAGGTGCTAGCACTGGGCTTGGCACAAGTTTATCCGGTTAAATTGACTACCACGCCTACCAGGCTCTGCATAATCCGCCTAACATCTCACCTCAACCCTCCACCTTGGGCCCCATCCTCCAGCCTTTTTTTCGGTGCTAATCATTTTCCCACCTCAAGGTCTTTGCTAAGAATGTTCTACAAAAGGGTACTTTTTGTCTCAGCCAGAAAGTCCTTCCTCAGGTCATCTTTTCTAAAGTAGTTTCCACTGTCATTCCAGCAGCCTCCTGTTAGTTTCTTTCTTATCACCTACCATTTGCTTTTTCCTTTCTTCTTCCCGTCTTTAGTCACAACACTGTTTGAGCATGAGGGTAGGGCCATGTCTCTACCTTCATTTCTCTGGCACATAATATATGGCCTAACTCATAGGTAGGCACTCAATATTAATTTGCTGAATGAGAACGATGCCTTGTATTGTTGCTAAACTCTTCTGAATGCACTCCTTTCCCTTGACTGTAAACCCCTAGAGGACAGAATCCATCAAATATTAGTTTGGAAGCCCCCTTATATTGCAGGCCACTGCCAGAATAGCTGCAGGCTTTGCTGGGTTAGACTTACTATTCACTGATGTAGACCCACTGCCTACGTGCCCAGTGGCACACAGGAGGCATTTCAATAAGCTGAATGAACTTCAAGGTCATTTTTTTTTCCTGCATCCTTCCAACATACTCTCCAGCAAGGCCCATCTTCTCCCCATTTGGAGGGAAAGCTGCTAAATCCCATTAACACCCAATCATTCCATGTTAACAGTAGCGAAGTAACACCCAGTCCAGAGGAGTGACTGGGCCAGAATCTTGTTCCTTGAAGTTTTTGTGTCTCCACAATGCTGGGCTTAGGAGGGAACAGCTCTTTTCTTTACTCCAAAGATAAACACAGACCCTCTCCCATCACCCCACTTCACTACTGAGGTCAGAAAAGAATGTTGAACAACACCTGACAGCAGGTTTGTGGGTAAGGAATTTCAACACACAGAGAATAACTTAAAACTGGCCACTGGGTTTAGCTGCTTTTAGAGCCCACCAGCCTCAGTATATCCTCATGGAGTCCCCGTAATTCGTGCCTCACTTCTTGGAGCCCATGCTTGTTATCACCTAAACAAACAGGCTCTTCAGAGTCCAGCCCCAAAGGAACCCCACCTGGCAGGAGGAAGATGTTCCTTCCATCTCCTTTCTAAAGCCCACATTTCAAGTCCTCACCCCATCCTAAAATATGCCTCTTTCCTAGATGACTGACATTGGGAATGTCCAACCCCTTCTAAAGACAGACAGACAGACAGACAGACAGACAGACACACACACACACACACACACACACACACACACACACACTAAAGGAGTCCACTGAAGCTTGAAATTTATTGCTTTGCTTCCCCCAGCACAGAAGTTAAGACAAACTTCACTACTATCCTTTGTTCCATGATGGAAATTAACAGTGTGTTCCTCTTGACTTTGACCCTTCCTTCTGCCTCTTCCTTTCCTTTTCCATAGTTTTTAAAGTGAAGCACTTTGAGATATACATTTACTGGCTATGTGAACATTTTGTAGTTAATCATTAGAGGGATCCTAGACCAATGAAGAAACCCAAACATTTCTATTTTATTCATCCATGGCATGTACTGATCCAGTAACAATTAACTGGAACTTCCTGGAAATATACAGATACTGGATGCTCTTGCAGAGTAGTTAAAAACAGAAGCTATGGACTCAGGCTCACTTGGGTTAGAATCCTGGCTCTGCCATTTCCTAGCTTCAGGCGTCAGCTTTAAGCCCTTGGGCAAGGCATTTAACCACAGTGAGCCTCGGTTTCCCCACCTAAGATAGGGGGATGATAGTACTGCCTGTAAGAATTATAACGATTGTTTGGAGGGTTAAAGGACAGACATCATGTGTAAAAGCTGGCAATTAGCAAGCACTTGATATATATTAGCTGCTATTCTATAATCCCATTGGCCAAAATACTGCATATTACCACAGATACTTGGGCATTTTCTAACAATCTAAGGGAACCCACAACTTGTCCATTTATTTTAATTCTTCTATTTAATTCTCCCATGAATTATATAAGCTCAGTTATATAATAACTTTTATTATATATTCTAAAGAAATAGTAAGGCACAATGTTCACTTACACAATTAACATGCAGTCAGCACTGGGTAACTCAGAGACACAAATGTCAACAATTTTTGTTCAGGACTCATCTGCATGATACATAAAGTTTTCACTGCTGCTGTGACTCTGCAGACAAGCTTTCAAAGCTGGCCTCCCCACCAGTGGCATCAGAACCATAAGAGAAGCTTAAATAAAACAACAGATTTCTGTCCCCATACCCCCAAAATTCTGATTGAGAAAGTTTGAGGTAGGGCCTATGAACCTCTCATTTCTGTGCCGAATACGAGACACTAGAGCACCAGGGAGCTGCTGGATCTCTATTTTTGAAAGGCTTCCCAGGGTAATGTCTACATATGTACAATCAGGCTCTAAAATGCTGATGCAGAGCACGATCATTTTTTGATTGGATCTGGGCGACTGAGAATAGTGAAACCACAGTTAAAGCACATGTTTTTTTTTAGACCCCGAAATTACCGATTAGGTGATGGGTGTTGAGTTTGACAATAGAAAGCATTTCTCCAGTGTGGTCACGGCTTGAGAGAGCCATCAGCTTTCCCCAGGTCGTGGATGGCCTCGTTATCTAGCAGTTCCTTCTTCTTGTCACTTGGTCTCACAGCGTTGTTCAGCATTGCTCTAACCACAGTCATCACTGGCACAGAGTGACCGCTGGCCCAAGATTCTGGTAAGGAGCCAAAGAACTTCCTAATCAACCATTCACCTGGGCGAGATTCTTGCCTATCACATAATAGAACTCTAAAGAGGAAAAGAAGAGCAGAGGAAGAGATGGTAAATTGCATTCAGACCATACAGGATGTTATGGATTGAACTGTGTCCCCCCAAATTCATGAAGCACTAATCCCCAGTGGGATCATATTTGAAGACACACCTCTAGGGAGGTAATTAAGGTTAAGTTAGGGCATAAGGATGGGACCCTAATCTGATAGGACTGGTGTCCTTACAGAAAAGGAAGAGATATCAGATATTTCTCTCTTTCTCTCCACTCACACAGAAGAAAGACCACAGGAGGACACAGAGAGAAGCAGCAATGAATCAACAAGCCAGAAGAGAGGCCTCACCCGACACTAACCCTGATGGCACTTTGACCTTGGACTTGTAGCCTCCCATTCTGCAGTGTTAGTGTTGTGGCAGCCCAAACACACTAATACAGTGCATAAATGGTTTTATTTGGGCACGAAGAGGATTTTAAAGAAGAAGGCAGCCAAGGCTACCCAGAAAATTTCAGACTATTCTGAACCTGGCACCACCAACCGTCTAGCCTTTCCTTCAAAGCTAAAAGTGGGTTCTTCAGAGAAGCAATCTCCCTCCAGCCAACTCGTTCACATCTTAGAAATTTGTCAGCCTCTTCAAATGAAAAACCAGGCTTCTAGGGAATAACCAACAGTGGTGTACTCTTAGGCAGTAGGAATACTTACCCGGGCCTAAATATGGAGTAACGATCAAATTTTAACTCTTCAACCCTAGCCTCCACTTCTCCCTGTTAACAAAAAAAAACATTTCTAGTATTTAATCAAGACCAACTTGCTGTAATGCTTAAGAGAGAATAACAAGAATAACTTGGGGTTTTGAAGACAATCTACTTCTGCAGGTCTCAATACTAGTTAATATCCTCCCCTAGATTTTTAGATTCCAGAGAGTCTGGGAAGTTAAGGAAGAGATCAGTTAATCCTGATACGTAGTAGAGAGTGAAAAAAGATGCACCGAATGAGTAAATGGCTGCATGGTCAGTCCAGCCTGTCATGTGACCTACTGAAACAGATCCAGAGAATGACATGTTAGGAGTTCAGCCATAAAAGAACTGTCCGTCACTCCAGAATCAGTGCTGCAGGCCAGGGGACCTTAACCTTTTTTGGCTTCCAGGTAGTTTCAGGAGGTCAGAAGAACCATAGACTCCCTTGTATTACTCACTTCCTAACAAAACCCACAACATTTCAAGAGACAGAGCATCTAGATGAGGCTTTAAATTAAATTTGTTGAACAATCCATGAGTTTTCACGACAGGCATCTCTATAAACAGAAATGCCAGAGAAGCTTGGCCACAGGGATGTTTAAAAGGCCTATGAACTAAGCAGCCTGCTCACCGCCGCCTTCTTGGCCTGTTCATACCATTCATTTGGCACTTAACCTACAGCACTGTATAATCTGCAGTAATACATTTTAATCAATATATTTAAAAAATACATTTTAATCAATGTATTAAAAAGCTTTTTTCAATGAATGATTTTTAATACATTCACCACAATCTAAATTTAGAATATTTCATCACCCCAAAAGAAACCCCGTACCAATTAGCACTCACTCCCATCCCCTCCCGCAAACCCTAGCCAACCATTAATCTTTCTGTCTCTAAAGATATGCCTATCCTGGACATTTCCTATAAATTAAGTCATGTAAGTTGTGGCCCTTTGTGACTGGCCTCCCTCATTCAGCATAATGTTTTCAACGTTCACCCATGCTATAATATGTCATTTCTTTTCATAGTTAAATCAATGTTATTTTGTAGGTATATGCCACATTTTTTTCATCCATGCTTCAGCTGATGGACATTTGAGTTGTTTCTACTCTTTGTCTATGATGAATAATGCTTCTATAAACATTCATATGTAAATTTTTATGAGGGTGCGTTTCTTAGTTGGTTTTTTACAAAGATGTGTTTTGTCTCTATTAGCAACATGTGTACAAGAGTACCAGGCTGAAACTGCTATTCTTAGAAAGGTCTGCTTGCCAGGTTGTCCTCTGGCCTGTGTCGGGGAACTCAGATTTTAGGAGTGTTCCCGTCATTAGCTAACTGATAAGGGTACTTTACTATGCCTAAACTATTTGTACAAACAATGTGGTTTATGCTGAACACTTGCTTTCCTTCTGGAAGTCTGTAATTTTTTTACGCTGAGGGTGCCTAGGTGACTGACCCCCATCAAAACCCTGGACTCCTGAGCTCAAGTGAATTTCTCTGGTAGGCAATACTCATTGCTGGAGAAATGAAACACGTGTAACTCCACTGGCAGAAGACCCTTGGAAGTCTGAACCTAGCTTCCTCCAGAGCTCACTCCATGCACTTCTTTTTCCCTGCACTGACTCTGCTTTATATTCTTTCATTGTAATACAACATGGCTGTGAAGATAACTATATGGCAGTCCTGGGAGGCCTTCTAGCGCATTCCCAAACTTGGGGCTGGCTTTGGGGATCCCCCCAAACAAGACTGTAATTCTTGAGGACAAGAACCATACCCAATAATAACATTTAATCTACTCTGGAAAAGTATCACTGTCTCAAAGTCTCTTCTAATGCTAAGATTCTGGGCTGATCCTCAAGACCAGGGCTGCAACATCTCATTTTATGATGACTAGATAATCAACAGAGGGGAAGACACTGGAAATTATCTTTCAAATCACTCCTGTTTACTAAGTACATCTCTGCAAAAAAGCAGTCCGTGTAGTTATAAAAAATGCATAATATAATGCATTTAATGCATTTTGGCATTACTTAGCATTTTGTATTATTTAGTATTGCCAATTAGCCAGGGTCCTCCAAAGTATACAAAAGATAGAAACATGCACAAACCTTGACTTGCAGATATAAAAAACTGCTTGACTTATCAGCTCCCTTAGAGGACAGCAAGTTGAAATGTTTGCACCCTCCAGCTTTTGCCAGCTCTGCAGACTTCAGGACGTAATCTCGATCAACACGAACAAATCCCTCCTAAGGGTGAAAAGGATGTGAGTTATTTCCCAAAAGCTGTGAGTTCATCTTAAAGATTACTTATCAGCTTGGGTGGCAGGTTAAGAGTCCTTGCGGGGGGGGGGGGGGGGGTGGACGAGGATGGGGATCCAAATAAAATGCATCCAAAACAACACGAATGTCAGGCTTAGACCCTGGGAATGGCTCCAATATGATGCTCAGGATAGATGTACCAGCTTTAGTAGCAAGGCCAGACTGCAATGAAAAAACAAGGACAATGACACTGAAACACAGACACCAAGAAAATCTGCAAGGAGCAAAAGGAACAATAATATCAGGCTGAGAAACTGGGGTTTTTCATTGTTGTTTTTTTAATATTTATTTATTTATTAACTTGGCTGCACCAGGTCTTTAGTTGTGACATGCGGGATCTTTTTTGTGGCATGCAGAATATTTAGTTGAGGCATGTGGGATCTTTAGTTGTGGCATGCGGGATGTAGTTCCCTGACCAGGGATCAAACACTGGCCCCCAGCACTGGGAGCACAGAATCTTAACCACTGGACCACCAGGGAAGTCCCTGAGAAACTGTTTTTAGTCTCACATTTCTTTGTTCTTAATCCTTTACAACCTTACCACCCTCTCTCTGTTTTCTCTATTTTTTTGTGTGTCAACTCTAACATAGCAGGGTCTCAAAGGGTGGCAGAGAACACTACCCACGCACTATGAGAACAAAGTCTATCTAATTTCCAATTTTTGTGTATGCTTTACAACATACTTCACACGTTAGTAAGGAGTGCATCTGCAAATTTTTTTTTACTGACAGGTATATAATCAAGAGTGTTTGGAGACCCCTGGTCTAGACTCGGTCCAGTGAGGGTAGCGGTTGGGTCTTTCCTAATTCACATCTCAGCATCAGTACAGGCCCACCCAGCACATGGCAGGTGCTCCAAAAATATTTGAATGAATGAATAAAAGTCCAGCGAAAGCAGAGAAAAGGTAAATCCAATTAGGAAAAAAAAGAACTAAGTGGCAATCAAAGGAAGAGGGGAGAGGATGGTGCAAACAAGAGAATACAGACTGGTTTCCAGGGCCTAAGTGAAGGATACCGGCCTGTACCCAGACTAGGGAATTCCATGTAGTAACAGCTTCTTGGGACCACCACGAAGTCTGGCATCCTCAAACTTGGTACAGCTGAAGAGCAGTCTAAAGTCTACTGAAGCTGAACTTCATGGGTACCCACAATTATATAATGAGGTTTCATATAATGAGGATTCCAAATCTGAAGACTGGATTACTGCCCCAGTGATTTTTTTTAAATTAAAAATCTGCCCTCTGGTAGTTACTGACCCTAAATGTTATATTTTGTATGGAGATATGTATCTTTCATAAGATAGATAGAAGGCACCTTAGGAAACATCACGCCTAACCCCCTCACTGTGGAGATGTGACAACAAGGTCCAGCGATCCAGGAACTACCGGCTAATGAGTGAGATAGCTGAGAGCAGAGCGCAAATTCCTGACTCTCTGAGCCGTGCTCCCCACGGTACTCACGTTCCTTCTTACCTCACACCATTACCAGCTAATAACAGAACTAATTCATAACTGTGGTAGGCAGAATAATGGCCCCTCAAAGATGTCCATGCCCTAATCCCCATACCTGTGAACGTGTTGGAGGCTACGTGGCCAAGGGGAATTAAGGTTGCAGGTGGAATTAAGGCTGCTAATCAGCTGACTTTGAAAAAGGTTATTCTGTAGTATCCAACTGGGCCCAATGTAATCACAAGAGTCCCTAGAGTGGAAAAGGGAAGCAGAAAAGGAGGCTGGCGTTAGGCAACGTGAGTAGCACTTGATCCCCCATTGCTGGCCTTAAAGATGGAGGAAGGGACCATGAACCAAGATATGCAGGTGGTCTTTAGAAGCCAGAAAAGGTAAAGAAAATGGATTCTCCCCTAGAGCCTACAGAGGGAAATCAGCCCTGTCAACACCTTGATTTTATCTCAGCAAAGTCCACATTGGACTGCTAACCTATAAAACTGTAAGATGATAAACTTATGTTGTTTTAAGCCACTAAATTTGAGGCAATTTGTTACAGCAGCAATAGGAAACTAATACAGAATTCAATTCTAAAACAAGGGGCCCAAGCAAACTTCTCAAACTTTGTATTGAAGTAGATCATAAAAGTAAATATATTCTAAGCATAGAGCTGGCTATATAAGCTGTTCATAAACTAATAAATATCTTCTGCAACCAGCTCCCAGATCCAGAAATAGAGCACCACCGTTACCCCAAAAGCCTGTCTCATCCTCTCTTCTTATCACTTATGGAGCATTTTTAACGATGTCCACGACCTGCAGGGTACTGTTGTTCCTCTTTCTTTTTTTTTAGGTAATATAAACTTAACTCTTAGCCGGGAATCATCCCCATCTGCTTCTGTGTTGTAGACTTTGACATTCCATCCTAATAACGGACTCAGCAACCTGTCCTACACACTGATTGAAACTCATGTTGTTGCTTTCTTAAATCAGTGTGCAGCAAACCAGTTTTAATACTCAGCACATCCTGGGAGTGGGCTGTGATTGATCTCCTCAGAGCCATTCTCTGGATTGAGATTTTTACATGTGCTCAAAATGTGCCAAGAAAAACAACCCAAAACGACTTAAAAAAATTCGAAAACACTCTATTTGTCTTCCACATCTATTTTCTTCCCCTCACTCCAATTCACCAGAACTCTGATTTTGATAACAGGTTCATTATTCCCAATGAAATTACATCGTTGACTAGTGAAATAAATTCCTTTCTGTTGCTGCTGCTGGTTTAAAACTATTTCTTGGAAGGATTATTAGAGTTGTCTCTGTTAAAATGTTTCTTCTTTCATCGGTGTCTTTAAAAATACGGGAAAGCTTCAGCCAATCACAAGGCTCTAGACCGACGCTGTCCCTCTCACTTAATCCAGGGCCAGTAAAGGGATAATTTGATTAAACTGAGACCCCAATTTATCTGGCTTTAGTTCTGGATCAACCACTCCTTAATAGAGTCCTGCAGTCTCCAATTGTTTGATGAAAATTAAAGTGACATAAATACCATGGGACTTTTACAATCTGATTAGTCAGCTAAGGCACATCAATACCACCCCAGCCATCAGCCTCTGGCGTCCCTCCTTTCACCCGCCTGGCAAAGGACTGACAACGGCTCCGGGCAGGACGAGCACCCACGCTGCTGCAGAGACCCTCACACTTAGCCCATCATCCCTGCTCAATGGGTCCTGTCGACAAGGTGTCCATACCTTTCTTCACTGCTGTTCTCTGGACAAAGCTCAATACTGTTTTATTAGCAATCAATGGCTGTTAATCCAAAACGATTTCACAAATCCTCTGAGCCCTCAAGCTGATTATAAATACGCATCATTCCAAGCCCACGAACTTTGAATTTCACTTCCCCCACCCTGATGCGTGGCCTTTTAACTGGTGAATGAAACTCAAAAGCAAAGGGGTCAATGGCTTTCAAGGACTCAGAAGCCAAACTTAAACGTGGATCCCGGACACTTACTCAGAGATACCGACACACACTGATTTTCTCTGGAGGAAGACTCCCTTTGTAGATAGAAAGGAGCTATCTTTAAGATATTATTAAACCCTTTCTTGTTCTCTAGCAGCTCAAATAAAAGAATAGAAAAACAAACTAAAGCAAGCTACTCCATATCCCAGAAACACAGTTTTCAGAAAAACCATATTTAGTTTCCCCAACCATATGGCAGAAAAAAAGATGTCTCTTCTGAGAGCATTAAGTCCATTATGTCTTTGTGTCTTTATGATTCCACAGTTGGTGTGTTTTACTCTAAGACAGGAATCAGAGTTCTTCTAGAAAAAGGAAATGATTAAATAAATTCCCACTATAAATTTCCTTTCCCAGCACCTGCTCGAAAAAATAAACACAATATACTGATATGACACAGCAGAGATGTCTTCATGGGCTCTACATGGGCTCTAGGTAGACAAATTCTCTAATTACTCTTTATTTTAAGTCTTATGAAAATCCAAAGCTCTACATGGGCTCTAGGTAGACAAATTCTCTAATTACTCTTTATTTTAAGTCTTATGAAAATCCAAAGCTACTAAGTATTCCTTCTAATATTCTTTACCAATGCCTGCAAACTGGGAACACTGTGGCTTAAGAACACCTCATCCTGATAAGGTATTTCAGCATTGACAAGCAAGCAGGCAGGAATGAGTCAAGGTCAACAAGACCCTTTTCCAAGAAGGGAGGATTTCATTCTGCAAAGGGTCCCACTTGGCCATATTTCTGCTTCAGATTCCTTCTCCTTCACTCCCTTTTCAATTCAACCCTATAAATTAGACTAGAAAACAGAGACACTGACAAACAACAAATGGTATGACTTGAGACCCCATTTATTTGTGTCCTGGAGGGCACGTCTATATTTGATGTACAGAGGGGGAACCAAGATCTTGGTTAGAGAAAGAGCTCTGGATAGAAGAATAAAACCTTATAGATACAGAGGATTCCTGAGTCAATCTCTATGTTATCACACATTTTTTCCCATTTGGGGCATTCCTTTCTTTCTGTTTTGAAAGTCAGCGAGTTCTGTAGGCCAAAGGGGCTTCGGTGGTCACCACCCTCTCAGTACAGACAAGGAGACAGGGGCCCACAGAAGCTAACCAGCATACCCAAGGTCCCACAGCCATTTGGTACCCAAGCAGAGGCTATGATCTGGGTCTCACGAAACGTCTGGGACCTCACCACTTCACAAGCCCCCTCCCAGACATCAAATAAAATAGTATAGGTGACAACAGGGGTTGGCAAGCTTTCCCTATAAACGGTGAGATAGTAAATATTTTCAAATTTGCAGGCCTCTATTGCAATTACACAGCTCTGCCATCATTGTGCAAATGTAGCCACTAATAATATATAAAGTAATGAGAATGTTCCAATAAAACTTTATTTATGGATACTGAAATGTGAATTTCTTATATTCTCATGTGTCATGACACATTAGTCCTCTTTG